GAAAACGTGCTCTGTCTTTTAAGTGACGCATTCCTTCCGTGTTCTGGCTTCCTGATCCCTGTTTGATATGCTTAATAATTGTTCAGTCTCCCTGGCTTATGAGTTTTATCAATCAATTTATTTTCATGGAGTATTTTTACTTTGTGAGGTCCTATCTAGATTGCTTTACTGATGTTCAAGAGTCTCTTTAGTGGTGTCTATGAAATAAGCTGTGTTGTACTTAAGCATAGTGTTTAATAAGAACTTTGTTTGGGGATAGAGTGTTTCTATGACAGACAAAGACCATCTCCGACGTGGGTGGAGAAGTGTACCTCCCTCTGAGAATGCACATGATTAGTTTTAGAATGAAAACTACTTTGAATAGACTTCTAAGTAGTGGTCTAGGAGTCCTTGAACAATTTATGATCCATTATGTGTTTTTCTGCCCCCTCCCTTCCTTGTTTTAAAATCTGGAGACTGGAAATATTTAAGGATAGATTTTTGATTTTTTTTTTTTGAAAAATGAGACTCACACCAGAAATTATAGGTACACTTAATTTTAAATTTTCCTTGAGGCTCTTATTTTGAGCAAGAGTAACTTACATGTGATTTAAAGAATTAGACTTTTATAAATAGTTGGCTGTAAGCAACTAAATTCACTAGGCACCCATTTTTCTACACCTGATGTATTATTTTCCACAAAGCGTTCTTGTAAATATGTTTATGTGTTGCACATTAGGCTAAAGTACTAAGCTATCAGACCTGCGATGTCAAGGGAACAATAATTTCTTTAAAAAGTATGATCTGTAGTGTTAAGGGATGTTCATAATTTCTAAGACAATTTATCGAATGGGTGAAGGCTTGGTGGGAGCATTTACCATCAAGTGAAATATGTCTCATTAAATTTCTGCATTATGCACATACCAACTCTCTTTCTTTTGTCGTTTTAATGGTTTATTTACATAATTGAGGATTGCTACTTTTGTTACTAGTGGTTATCATAGCAGAATTATTTTGGTTGAGCCTACCTAAGCAAATTTGGAATGTGCTTGTTTCTTGAAACTAATGGCGAAGCATTCTACTCCCCAAGCCCCCCTCCTTCCCAGCTCTTTGCAGGGAAGACCTTTGATTTGCATATGTAAATAAGCCATTTAATTCGGAACCCTGTGGGACCCACCCAGGTCCAATCTGTTATTTTGCTGATGTTGATGTCATTAGGCAGGAGGTAAATGGTATCAGGAGATTGATGTCTCAGTCTGGAGTGACAGATACCAGGACTCTGAGGGCTGCTGTTTAGGAGGAGAAGCCAGTTCTTGGGATGTGGCAAATGAGGGAAAAAATGAAGACGCAGATTTTGCCTTTAGTCTTGGCATGAGTGAAAGAGTTTAATGTTTTTCTTGAATAGAGGAAACCATTCAAGCAAATACGTTTGTTTGCTATTGCTATAAGAAAATGGCTGAGATGAGATAATTTATAGAGAATACACAGGTTTTGCTTGTCTGTCTATGTATCTGTCTATCTATCTATCTACCTACCTATCTGTCTGTCTGTCTACCTATCACCTATCATCTATTCATCTGTCTGTCTGCCTATCATCTATCTATTATCTATCCATCATCTATCTATCTACTATCTATCTATCTGTTTGTCTATCATCTATCCATCTGTCTATTATCTATCTATCTATCTATCTATCTATCTATCTATCTATCTATCTATCTAGTCTGCTCATCATCGGGAAGCTGGGAAGTCAGAGCATGGCCCTGCCCTTTGCTCCTTAGCTTCTGAGGTCTTTGTTGCTGTCCCATTGCTTGGTGAACCCATCCATGGTGAGACAGGCAAACACGCCAGCTGGGATCTCTCTTCCTCTTATATAAAGTCGCCAGTGCTGTCATGGGGGCTCAGCCCAGATAACTCCATCTGATCATAAGTCCTTCCTGAGGGCTGCACTCTGAAATAATCATGGGTATATGAATTCAAGGATGAGGTTTCCAACTCCCAAACTTCTTGGTATTTAAGCCATAGTATATAGGAAGTTGATTTTCTGAGAAACTGTTTAAGCTTTATTTGTTTTTAAAAAACGATGTGTGGCATACAGGCTGGTGATGTAGTTTAGTGATAAAATGCTTGGCTTACATAGTGCAACCCTTAGTTTCATCCTCAGCAACACACACACACATACACACACACACACACACACACACACACACACACACACGTGCGTGTTAATGCATAACTGAAGTGATACTATCATGTTTACGTGACTAAGTAAGTTAGGCAGTACATTGTTTAAGCCCACCCCACCCCTGAAAATGAAGAAGTAGGCCCTACCCCTTCCTGTTGAACAAAGTCCTTCTCAAGGATTTCCACCTAGATCCTAGGGTCTAATGTCTGCAGATCCTATGGGATCTCAAGATCACCAGGCTAACTCTGCAGCCTAGGGGCACCTTAGCTCCCCACCGCCAAAGAAAGCACGGTGTGACTCTTGATGGGAAATTAACAGTAAAGTTTAAGAAGCATGTGGAGGAAAACTCGCTGTGAGCAGTTCACGACTCCTTTATTTTCACTCTATATGCAATTCATTAAAATGTCATTAATCCTGCAGGCTCTTCCTCGGCTTCCATTAAGATGTATGACTGAGATCTCTGTGTAACTACATTGATTATTTCATACATCTATTTGTTCATCGCAAGCTGTCCGTTGTTACAGATTCATTGTCTTGATGATAAATGGAGGAGCGAAGCCACAAACCCTCACCTCCCAAAGGATGTGTGCGCTCATCCTACGCCAGGCTTCTACCAAGCTGGAGTTTAAGGATTCAGATCTCAGGTTTAATATCAATGCCTGCCTCCTGCTGAGTTCATGGTACAATTAGCTAATTAAAAAAAGATAACATTTTCACCTCAGAGTCAGAACAAGAGCAATAAACTACAGGCTCAGGATTTAGTTAATTTGCACATTGACTGTAATTGTATATTTAAGGCTGAGATTAATTTTTCCCCCTGATGTCAGGGAGCCAGACACTGTGCATTGGAATCTTAAATCAGCTATAATCACTCCTTGGGGAGGTCAGTCAGGGTGGGGGTTCTCTAGATGTATTAGTACAAACAACTATTTATTTGATAACGTCTTCTGTTGAGAGAGAAGAGAAAAAGCATTGAAACTCCATTCTGATAAACTGCTAAATATCATTCTAAATAATCTACTATTCTTTTTAAAAAAAACAAACAAACTTTTTTTTCTCTAAAAACAGTACTAATACTGTTGCGAGGAGAAGCCATTTTTAGCTTCTTGTGCCAAATGGTGAGTATTTGTGAGTATCAGTTCTGCTTTGGAAGCTTTGGGAGGCATTCTGGGCCATCTGGGTCCAAGACTAGTTCATCACTTTTTTTTTTTTTTTTTTTTTAAGAAAAGGATAAAGAAAGGATATATTTTGGTAGGCTCTAGAAATCAAAAATAATAATCCTGACCTGTATGCCTCCTTTTTGAATGGTAAGTGCTATGCTTTGGACATGATGGCAAGGATTGCTGGCAATTCAAGAGGGTGTGACTGATGCATGCCTGCAAAGTAATAGAAGGAAATTATTGCTAGAAGGAAAAAACGTTTAAAAAGGAATTCTTGAAAAACCAAAAAAAAAAAAAAAAAAAAAAGGAATTGTAAGTGCTACACAACCGATTACATCTTCACATCCATAGGTCTTTAACCTTCCTTTAAAGAAAAAATTTTTGAGACAGTCCTGCTCTGTGGTCCTGGTTGGCCTGGGGCTCACTGTGTAAACCTGGTTAGCCTTTAACTCACAGAGCTCTACCTGCCTCTTCCTCCTGAGTGCTGGACTAAAGGCTTGTGCCAGTACACCCAGCTTCTTTCTCTTCCTCCATCTCTCTTTTTAAAATAGAGTTGAGTAAATATTATTTTTCATCTCAGAGTCATTTTGCTGCCTGTTTGTTGTGTCCTACAAACTGGGTCTTTGAAGCCCAGAGCTATTTTCTTTGTTTTTGATTGGCAGTACTGGGGATTGAACCGAGGGTTTTAGCATATGGCAGGCAAGCACCTTTACCATGGTGCCACTTCCCAGCCCAGAGGATTTGTGAAGCCATCTCTCTCTTTCCATCTTGCCATCTTTGGAGTTGATCCTCATGTGTGGGTAGCATTCCCTTTTTAAATTGTTATTCACTATTTATTGTACAGCTTTGAAAGATGTAAGTGGGCTCTATATCATTTTGGGGGATCTCTGTTCCCAATTTTGTCTTTTAAATATAGAACCGTGGGTTGTTTGTTTGTGTGTTTGTTATATAACGAGGGGTGGTAAGTGTTAAGCTTTCTGTGTGTTCCATCTGTACTTCCTTTCTTTCTTTCTCTTTCTAAATGGCCATTAACAGAGTTGGTTCACAGAGAGACCACACTTCAATGTACATAGTAAACTTAATGTAAGTCCCTCTTTAAACCAGTAATGTATGGTACACATTTAGGGGAAGTTTTTGATGGCTGTCAGAAAAGATGAATCTACTGGGATGATGGAGAGAGATGTTTCTCAGACAGATTGGAAGACTGTGATCTCTACGACATTTAGGTGATATCCACTAGGTATGAAGTCTGACTGTAAGCAAGCTTTATAATGCTGTTTTCTTAGGAAGGTGGACTTTGGGTTCAGGAATATAGTATTCCAGTTTTCCTTAGTATAATTACCTAAGAGAATAACAAAGTTTTGCCGTGAAATGTCTGAATCCTGGGCTGGGCCTGTGGCGTTATTACACAAATGTATATATTGGCTATTTTTAACGTAATGACTTGCATGGGTTTTGTGGGGGTGAACATGGTGTGTGTGTGTGTGTGTGTGTGTGTGTGTGTGTGTGTTGTGTATGTGTGTGCACACGTGCATGCTTATTGGATATTCAGCTTAAACAAAGTACAGTACGGTTAAACACTGTCCCTCTCCTTTTCTGGCCATTCTCCCATCATCCCATGCTCACTTTCCCCCTTCCCACCTCTCGTTCATTTCCCATCTTCCATTCACTGTCAGGAAGGGCAGCCTCCGAAGAGCCATTTCAACTCAGCTCGACATCGCCAGAGACTAGTGGACCCAGCTGCTCCAAAAGTGAGTGTGTCCTGTCGCCTTGGGCGGCCAATGTGCATGACAGTGTGGTCCCTCTGGGGTGGTGGGGTTGTCAAGTGTTACGTGTAGAGGAGGCAAAGTCTTCTCTATTCAAGATCATACACACCAGTGTCGTTCTAATGAACACTTAACAGCCTGCCCTGAACTCAAACAAACCATGGCTTGTAGCGTGAGCTGTTTTTACCTGCCATGTGTCCTCCCAACCATGACCAGTGTCAAGGACTTGTGTGATGTCACTGAACTCAGAGCTGGGAAGAGATGCCCAGTTAAGAGTACCACCATGTGGCCAGTCATGTTAGTTTCCCCACATCAGACAGAACTGCCCAAAGCTTAGGAAGTGAGTGACTTCTGAGTGTCAGCTGCCCCTGTTTCCTACTTGTTGTCTTAGCCACTTTCCCCCACCTTTAATAAAACATACTCAGCTTATGCCATTCATGGGGAGAAAGATTTGTTTTGCCTTATGACTCCAGGGCATGGACTTTGTCTAAGTTTCTATTCTTGTTGCTGTGATGAAACCACTTAATGGAAAAGGATTTATTTTAGCTGAGACTCCAAAGTACAGTCCAATACAGCAGGGATGCAATGGCAGCTGGAACTCCAAGCAGCCTGTCTTAGTTGGGGTTTCTTTTGCTGTGAAGAGACACCATGACCGCAGCAGCTCTTAAGAAGGAACACATTTCATTGGGGGCTGGCTTACAGTTTCAGAGGTTCAGTCCATTATTTTCATGGTGACACGTGGGCAGATACGTGTTGCAGAATATCCCTTTACACTGTGTGACGATGTGTCACTGTGATTGGTTTAATAAAGGGCTAAATGACCAATAACCAGGCAGAAAGAGGCTAGGCGGTACTTCTGGGGACAGAGAGGACTCGGAGAGGAAGAAAGGTGGGGTTGCCAGTGAGACACAGAGAGGAAGCAGGAGGTGTGGGATGGAAGAGAGGTAACGCCACGTGGCAGAACATAGATGAATATAAATGGGTTCATTGAAGTTATAAGAGCTAGTTGAGAATAAGCCTGCACTAAGGCTGAGCTATCATAATTAATAATAAGTTTCAGTGTCATTATTTGTGAGCTGGTGGTCCTGATAAAAAAAAAAGTTCTACTGCAGATATGGTGCTGGAGAAGGAGCTGAGAGTCCTCCATAGTGATCTGCAGGCAGCAGAAGCAACTGTGTCCCACACTGGGCAGGGCTTGAGCATCTGAGACCTCAAAGCCCACCTCCACAGTGACACACTTCCTCCGACAAGGCCACACCTACTCCAACAAGGCCACACTTCCGAATACTGCCACTCCCTATGGGCCATGCATTCAAACACATGAATGTATGGGGCCATACCTGTTCACACCACCACACAGCCTATCACACTGCTCCGCAGACCATACTGCCTCGAAGAAAACAATGAATTTCTATATGATAGTGCTCAACTTGCCTTCTCTACTCCTCTACAGGCCAGGATACCCAGCCTAGGGAGTTATGTCACCCATAGTGGCCCAGACATGCTCATAGGTCCATTTCTCTGGTGATGCTTATTGCTGTCAAGTTGGCCATTAATGCCAATCACAATCCATGGTAGCAGGAGCATCTCAGAGCTGTGTTTGTGAGAGCTGCTAACATCTGGGCAGGTCAGAAAACAGACAGCGATGAACCTCCCTCCCGGTTCCCTTTCTCCTTTCCACTTTGTGTTCAGTCTGCTGTCAACCCATGGAATGGGGCTGGACACATTCAACATTGGCTGCCTTCCCTCGGTGAAAACTATCTGGAAATGCCGTCACAGACACACCCGCAAGTGCGCCTCACTAACATCCTCCATGTTTATTAACCCAGCCAAGATGACAGCCCAAATTAATTGTCACAAGTGTGCTTTCTTGTAAGTTTGGACATCTTAAATTTGTAAGTGTCTGTCAGAACTTGTTTGCAGGAGGCTAAGGTTGTGGGTCACCAGTGGAGGCCTTGCCCGGCATTGACATGGACCTAGGCTTGATCTCCATCGCTGCAGACAAACACACGGACAGACAAAAGCAGCTGACTTGTGAAAACCCTGAACGTTTACTGAGAGTGGGTGGGGTGGCTTCAGCACTGTAGTTATAATGTGTATAGTGAGATCTGAAGCCCATCTGTTAGCACAAACTGGATGTGAGGTCCTCCACTCCTCACCATTCCAAAAGAAAAGTAGGAGATGGGTATTGGAAAATGGAGATGGGTTTATTTACAAGTCTGTCCAGAGCTGGGGAGAGAAAAAAAACGTTAGCATTTCTTTTTTTCTTGTCGGTTGGTCTTACAAAGTTATAGAAAAGTGGGAACAAAAGCCAGGGGCTGGGCATATTGAGGTCTCTGATGTGAGCTAAGTTGTCAGAACTCTGTGAATTCTCCACCTGGTAGGTGGATTTCCCTTTGGGGGGCCACCAGGGCTTCAGCCCGCCCTGGCTCTCAGCATGGCTCTCTTGGGGTTTTACAATTCTCTAGACACCATTGCTTCAGGTCCCTGCTGTTTCTGCTCATCCTGAGCTCTCTGACAGATAGCAGGGACCACAGAAAGTAGCTGAGGTTTGGGGTGAGGATTTGCTAAAGTCAGCAGTTTAAAGGGCCCAAGTTCTTCTGCACATAGCCTCTTATTAAACTCACATTCACTGGCCAGTAGGAGAAGGCATTCTCAGACTGCCTCCGTGACCCATTGAAATTTCAGCTGGCCTTTTAAAGCACTCCACTCACATCTATTTTTGTAAAGTTTTGCTCGGGTCAACATGACAACTTTCTAGGACCAGATTCCCTTACCTGTGTAGTGGAGTCACACCCAGGGCTCTGTAGTGATGTCACACACAGGGCTCTGTAGTGGAGTCACACCCAGGACTCTGTAGTGGATGTCACACCCAGGTCTCTGTAGTGGATGTCACACCCAGGACTCTGTAGTGGAGTCACACCCAGGACTCTGTAGTGGAGTCACACCCAGGACTCTGTAGTGATGTCACACCCAGGACTCTGTAGTGGAGTCACACCCAGGACTCTGTAGTGATGTCACACCCAGGGCTCTGTAGTGATGTCACACACAGGGCTCTGTAGTGGAGTCACACCCAGGACTCTGTAGTGGATGTCACACCCAGGACTCTGTAGTGGAGTCACACCCAGGACTCTGTAGTGAAGTCACACCCAGGGCTCTGTAGTGATGTCACACACAGGACTCTGTAGTGGAGTCACACCCAAGACTCTGTAGTAATGTCACACCCAGGACTCTGTAGTGGATGTCACACCCAGGACTCTGTAGTGGAGTCACACCCAGGGCTCTGTAGTGGTGTCATACCCAGGTCTCTGTAGTGATGTCACACCCAGGTCTCTGTAGTGATGTCACACCCAGGACTCTGTAGTGGATGTCACACCCAGG